AAATCGCTCACCTGAGATGATGCCGCCGCCGCCATGGCCGTCGCCGCCGCTGTCAGCTGAAGTGTGCAGGTCTCAGGCAGTGGCAACGGCTTTGCTACGCCCACCACAACGACGCCCCGTGGGGCACCCTTCAGCGCCTGCACCGCCTCCTCCAGTGAGGCATTTTCCAGGTTTCGATCGTTGACAAAGAGCAGACGGTCGCCCGGCAGCAGACGGCCATCCTGTTGAGCAACGCCGCCTGGGACCAGGCTGCGAATGACGATCACCGTTTCACTGGGGTTCATTGGGTCCTGAGAAAGTGAGAGAGAACGTGGAGGTAAAGAAGGGTGAAGATAAGTGCAGGCGGTTAGTGATGGGACAAAATCATAGAGAGAGTATGTTAACAACACAAGAGAAAACAATGAGAAAAAAGAAAGCAATTGCATCACTTACCTGGTAGTCGAGGATGCTGAAACCGAGCCCCCGGTCGCCCTTGATGAGCTTAATCAGCACCGGCTCACTGCTCCACATGGCAAGGCCACTGAGTGGCTCGAGGGAGCGTGATCGAAGACGAGACAGCTCCGAGGTAAGTTGGCTTGTGGAAATGGAGGTAAGGGGAGTTATGGCAAGCGAGCCATCAGACTTGGCCTTCACCAGCCGGTCAATGAATGGCTGCGTCAGCAATTGGCTATTGTTGCTGTCCAGGTAGTTCTCCTGGTTGTTGTTGTTGTTGTTGATGGCATTAAGGGCGTTTGGGTTCATTTTGGCATCTTCTAGTGTTTGCTGTTGATTAGAGTAGTTGGCACCAAGTTCCGATAAGTGTGCAGACTGACTAAGGGTGGTCGAGTTGCCGTAGAGTGGTATTGGTCGGGCACAGACGAGCTGCACCTCAATGGGCAGATCCTTCAGCAGGGGCAACACATCAGAGTACCTCAGTCCGTGCAGACGAATTCCGTTTACCTAAGGTTAACATGTTAGACATGAGAGTGTTTTGTTAAAGTTATGTCAATCTAACAGTTCTTACCTCCAAAAGTTCATCGCCCTTCTTGAGAAGACCATTTCGTCCAACAGGTCCATTTGGAATGATGGAGTTGATGTAGTGATGCGGACGTGCTTCAATTCCATTACCAATGTCAATGTTTCCCTCCAAGCTGATTCCCAGTCCACCGTCATGGCACAGCTTTGTCACAGTAGCGACCTAGTGAAAAAATAAAGCGTTGTTAAAACAAATGACTTTAGATGGTTGATCAAAAACACATACGATAATATCATGCTGAGGACCAATGATGGGCTCCCACTTGGCGACTGCCTCGGCGGGCGTGCTGATGCCGCCAATTGGATTCACCGACTCGTAGATATTGCCATTGTTCACCTCAATCACAGTGGAGCCGTTCATGTAGCGAGGCGTACTGTGGCTGAAGGCGCTGTGGCTGTGGCTGGGTGCACCGACCGGCGTTGTCACCACCGAAGTGGACTCTCCAGCATCGTCCACCAGCGACTGACCGCCTTTCAGACGAGCCAACTTCAGCTTGACCACCTTCTGCGTCTTCCGCAGCAGATCGACGGCCTCCGAGTTGGTGTAGCCGTGCAGTGACCTGCCGTCCACCTCGATGATTTGATCATTCTCTTGGATTTTGCCGCACCTCGCCGCAACGCTGCTCGGCGCAATGCACTTGATGAAAATGCCGGAGATCTCTTCGGCTGTAGATAGATTCAAAAGGTGAGTTGCACCATCAGATAATTAAGAAAGTTTGTAGCAAGTACTTACACTTTTCATTGCACACGTAGCCGGCAATGGTAATTCCCAGGCCTTGTTGGTCCTTGATCAGCTCCACGTCAAAGGTTTCCATCTCTGAGGGTTCAGTCGACGGTGCCTCTCTTTCCGGTTCAATTGCAGTTGTGGTGTTGCTGGTGGTGGCTTGAAATGGTAATGGCACGTTGGTGACACTGCTCACTGTCGTCGTCGTCGTCGTCGTTATAGGTGGAATGTCTTTTCCAGGTAATTCAAAACTTGGTGAAGGCTGTATCTGGAACATAAAAAAGACGATAAAAACCAGCTCTCAGCATCAGCAGGGCAAGCAAACGTACATTCAGTTGAGCAAAATTGGCATTTAAATCGGGCAAAAATTCGGCAATTGGAGAGGTATCAGTAGGAATAGACTGAAAAGTTTGCAAAGGTTTGGAGATGATTAGCCAAATTACGCACTTGAGAGTGGTGCTGAAACTCACTTGCTGAAGACACTGTATTTGCTTTTCAAGCTCAGTCGGGTCGTTCAAACTTCTCGTGGGGACAATGGTGAGGTTGTTCTCAATCACCTGCAGGTCAGACGTTGGGTCAACTGGACGGGCAACAATGAGCTTGATGCTCGGTCCTGATTGTCGCAAAATCTGACCCACTTGATCCGAGCCCATTCCGCGCATGTTCACGCCGTTGATTTGCAAAATGTGATCGCCGATTTGCAGTCGATTGTCCTGTAATGTGTGGTAGTGTGCAACAGCGCAAAAATCAATACCCAAAAGTGCGTGCAATAAAGTAGGCAAAGTAAAGTTTGGCAGTTTTCCAACAAAAACATGCTAATAATTCATGAGCCTAGATGGTGTGTTTGCACTTACCCTGGACGCAGGACCGCCCGGCACGAGTGACTTCACAATCACCCCCGAGCTGCGACCGCCGACGATGCCAAAGCCAGGGCCGGCGCCATCGCCCTCCAGTTCGACGCACTCCAGCTGGGTCCACTCGGTGTTGAGGACCATGTCGTAGGAGTCCTTGGAGCTGTCGCTCACCTCGGATGGCGATCGCTTCACGTTGAACACCGAAGTGCTGCTGC